AAAAATAAATCCATAAAATTAGCAAAAAACCATTAATGACGCATTCACATAAAAACTAAAGGAACATGCCATTCATAAAATGTAATATTCTTCACTCCTTTTTAATTTCCTGCAATAAGGCTTTGGCACTACCACTCAAACCAACACCACCCTCTACTTGTTTAAATACAAAAGTGCTCTCTGGTTCATGTTTCTTAGGTGACTACTCCCAAACATTTCTAATACTTTATTATGAAGATCTACTGACAATAATTTATATCCCCAGATGAAATAAAAAATTGGTAAAAGCTCCAGGATTACAGGGACATATGATCAAACATGTGAACTGGCAGAAATTCACATGAAATCTACCTGACTTGACTTTTAATTTAAATTCTAATTCATTCAGTTAATAAACACACACTGAAGAGCAAAATATGGGCAGAGAATGTAGTCTGCAAAATTCTCAGCAATACATGTCATTCATTTAACAGTAATTACGGTATGCCTCCTCTATGCCAGGGGTTAGGGGATCAACAGTGAATAAAAAAAGTCTCTGGGTCTCATGAGTTCACATTCTAGCCAGGACGGACAATCAAGTAAAGAAACTGCAGAGCGCCTGGGTGGCTCAGATGGTTAAGTATCTGCCTTTGGCTCAGGCCATGATCCCGGGATCCTGGGATCGAGTCCCACATCGGGCTCCCTGCTCAGCAGGGAGCCTGTTTCTCCCTCTGCCTCTGCCTCTCTCTCTCTCTGACTCTCATGAATAAATAATCTTAAAAAAAAAAGAAATCGCAAATTTCAGAGGGTGCCATGTACTATTAAGAAAAATTAGTGATGTGATGGAGAATAAACAGAACACCTAGGAACTTATTCAATGCTAACAAGTTTATTTTTTAAAAAAGATACATTAATTTCAAACTTTATGGAGGAACTAGGCAATGCATATGAGTAGCAGGAATAAGAACACAGGCCAAAGAGAAGGGTAAAAGTGTGAGGGGTGGGGGGAAGGAAAGGAAAGGCACAGGAGCTGAAAGAGAGAAACAGATGTGTAAGAACAATGGCCTATTGTGTCTATTACAGGGAGGCATGTGTTTTGTTTTGTTTTGTTTTGTTTGATTCATGGGCTCGATATATTAGGTCAAACCGTATTAGAAACCACCTATCCTACCATGCTCCTATTACACACAAAATAAATAGATATTTTAAAACCAAAATTAATAAGGGAAATACAAATGCTTTTCTTATGACAGCGAAGGGCAGGAAAAAGGTACTTATGAATAAATGTAGTTCTTTCTACAGGATGAAATCACAGAATTTTCTGTTGAGACACTGCTCAAGCTTCAGAGCAAGCAAGCAAGAGATCCGTGAATAGCAGTTTTTTTAAAGAACAACTCTGAGTACAAGCTTATATGCTCTTTAACTCGGCTGTACTACATCTAAGTTAAACATGAGCAATGAAAATAGTTTTCAGCAAACCATTGTGAAAAGAACAAAAACCCTTCAGGTTTAAGGCAGCCAACCACAGAGAAGCGCTCACAAAGGGAGCTGTCCATCCACCTTGGCTTCCCTTCAGTCTCTGTCAAGCCAGAGCATGAAATTACCAATACGTAGCTGAAAGTCTGCGTTGGCCCCTCTTCCCCGCCTACATCTCCTACAAAACCTCTTATCTTCTGGAGGGCGGCCACTCTGAGTCTCCACCTCCATTCTCAAAGACCAGGCAGCAAGCAGCCCAAGAGGTCTGAAGAGTCCCATAACCTCACTGCCAATACGCTCACTGCTCATCTTCACAGTCTCAAAGACCTCTAAGACTACAGGCTCCCCGAGTAACACTTCTGTGCTTCAACGCTCTTATGCCCTTCTCTAAGTCCACTACTAAAGGGCCAACGCCCTCCAAATCTGAACTCAGCTTGTCCCACAAAATTAAAACTCCCTACTCAACTTCATTTGCACTCAAACAATTCAGTCATGTAAGCAGAAAAGCAACCAAAATCATGATCACTGTTCTCATTGGTCTTCCTCCTGCCATCCCCCATGATCAGTTTCTAGTCTTTCCTTACTTCGTGTAAATGAGGTGCACATACCCCCCCTCCAGTTTTATGTCCAAGTTCCCTTCAGTGAATCACCCCTTAACCACATTCTAACCTTGGAGTCATCTTTGTAAGAAACGGAATGATGCAAAGTTAACCAGTGGGGAGAAAAATGAAGAAAATAGCATTTACTGAGTTCCTACTATGAACTTGGCACTGTTCTAGCCTAGGAGGTGGGAATTACTAGCTCCATTTTATAAATGGGGAACAAAGTTGGATGTTTCTCAAATACACCCATTCCTCTCTGGTCTAACAGAGCAGGCTTTCTTCACTTCACATTCACAGCACCACTGGCCTCCTCGACTCCTGACCTGTTCTGTATAAGACACTGCCAGAACAATCATACCAAAATTCCATTTATATCACATCAATGCCCTGTTGAGGGAAGTGAAATGCCTTCTGCTTCTCTATTTGCCCACGGACTGGCCCACAATTCAATAAATATCTGTTGCTTGGGGCGCCTGGGTGGCTCAGTCGTTAAGCGTCTGCCTTCGGCTCGGGTCATGATCCCAGGGTCCTGGGATTGAGCCCCACATCGGGCTCCCTGCTCGGCGGGAAGCCTGCTTCTCCCTCTCCCACTCCCCCTGCTTGTGTTCCCTCTCTCGCTGTGTCTCTCTCTGTCAAATAAGTAAATAAAACTAAAATAAAATAAATATCTGTTGCTTAAAACCATCCCATGATTCCCTACCAGCTTAGACCTAATGAGCCCAGGAAGCAGAAAGTAATAGGTCTTTAGGACCTATCCTAAAGACCAGCCATGTTGAATACGCACCATGAATTTGAAAAAGCCAAAGGCAACTCAAGAGCCATTAAGATAAAGTGGAATTTCTCTAAGACATTTTACAATTCTGACCCACCCAAACCAGCCTTCTTCAGGGAGTAAGAGCACTGGATTTAGAATGCCTGGGTTCTAACCCCTGCTCCTCCATTTCTAGCTTCTTAACCTCTCCATGCTTCAATCTCCTGCCCTGCAAAAGTTCAACTGGGTCTCTGTTCCAGTTTTCCCACCCTCCCTGACTATCCCAAGTCCAAGTCATTCTCCAAAGGTCAGACGAAGGCCCATTTTCCTTGCAAACTCTCACTGGATGACCTCAGCCCATGACCACACTGACTGGATTTATAACAGCTCTACAATAGAAGGAGCCTGAATCACTCATTTCAACTTTTATCCGTAATCATGTTATCGCTGTGCCTCATTTCATTATTTCCCCTGCGTATACCCCTCCCCCACCTTGTCCCACTCACAAATGACAGCCCCGCTACTCACTCCCTCAGGTGATCCTTGGTGGCACAATATTAATATCAACAATTATTATGACCACCATTTGCTGACTATGTAAGTGCCAAGCACTGTGCTCAGTCTCCTACGTATTTTACTATCCTTCAATCTTCCTAATCCTTTTAGGTAAATCTGTCTCTTTATCCCCATTTTACAGTGACAGAAGAGAGCCCACCCAAAGCTACAAAGCTAGTGAGGACGGGGGTGAAGAGTGATGACTTCAAACTCAGCCGTCTGCCTCCCACTCTTAACTACTGCCATCATGTTCCTTAGTACTTACTAATATCGACATGTTAAATCTTCTCTCCTAAATGTGAGCTGTTTACAATAAGAAAAACTATTTCTTGGCTCACTTACAGAATAACCCATTCTTAATAAGTGATTCATACCCAAGCCTTTACTTAAACTAACTCATAATCCTAACAACTTTGTGAGATAATAATTACTACTGTCAATTTACAAATGAGGAAACAGAGGGAGGGGTTCAACAACTTGCCCCAAATCCCACAGCCGGTAAATGAATTCAAGGGTGAAGGGACAGCTGTGATCAAGTAAGTACTCCTCTTATTAACTCCTTCTCAACAATTTTTATTAAGCACAAGAAAATCGAGAAAGGGACTGGGGATACAGCAGTGACACCAGAACGTCTCTCTGCTCTCATGGTGCTTAGAATCTTCATTCTTTTCCAACACCATCATTCAATGGGCACAATCCTAAATCCTCTTAAATACTCAAGTTTTCCATACAAAAATATCAAATTTGGTAAGAATTAGTACCAAAGAAAAAGCATGGGACTCGAAGCCAGAAAACCTGAGTTATATTTCCAACTTTGCCATTTATGAGCAACTTTGTCACTTATTCGGCCCTGGACAAATCCGTTCACCTGACTCTCAATTTCACGACCTGTATGAGATAATGTATTGAGTTGCACACCTAGCACAGTGTCTGGCACTTAGTATACGCTCAATAAATGAGCTTCCATCTTTCCCCTCCCCTCCGTGCAGTGACTTCATAATCTGTGTCGTCACTGAGCACGTGTTAAAAGGTTCCGCGGAGTTATACCAAGGACCAAAAAGTCTCCAGTCTCTTACTTCCCAGGGCAATTCTCATTCCAGATCACTATGTCTCCAATTTCCGGCCGCAGACTACTCTGATGCCAATAAATCGGATTACGACTCGGGAATGACAGCGACGCTCGTTAGGGCCTGGCAGTGTCTATAAAACGCTCCCCATGACCTTCTTTAGAAGGCATTCGTTTCAGCTGGCGAGCACTGTGACCCCTGGCGGGGCTCCACGCCCCGTGCGGGAAATGTGGCACCGGGGAGGAGAATGACCAGCCTCTGGCACTAGGTTGTACCCTGCAGACCGCTTTCTACTCGAGGAGCGCTGCACCTCTCCTGCCACCTGCCAGCCCAACCGCCCCCCCCGCCCCCGGAGCTGCGACTCCTCCCCTCCCACCTCGCGCGGGGGCCCAGGCTCCCCCGGCCCCGTCCTCACCCCCGGCCGCCCAAGTGACCTCCCGCCGGGTTCGGGCAGCTTGCCCTGGCCCGAGGGGCTGGATCAGGGCGGTCGGCCTGACCTCCCCCGGAGCTTCCCTTCCGCCCGCCTGGTCAGCGGGGTCTGGGGCCGGCCAGGGGCGAGAGGCCCCTTACCTATCTTCACGACCGTATCTGCCATGCACCGGTCCCACTTCCTGCCGAGCTCTGATTCCGACATGTTCCCCACCCGCAGCTCCCGCTTTCTTTAAGGTCGGGCCCCCGCTCCGACTCCAGGCAAGTATCGCGAGAGCCGGCCACGGGTTCCAGTCCCGGAAGGCCGGCCCGGTCTGCCAGATATCGCGAGATGATCTGAATGCTTCCGCCTTTTCCTTTTTTTTTTTTTTTTTCTAGTTGGTCGTCAGGGTGACGGGTTGCCTGGAGGCCCGAGGTGACCCTGACCTTGGAGCCGCGCCTACCTGAGTGCTGCGAGGCTGACAGGCTTCCCGGGCGGCATCCAGAGCTCTGTCGGGAAGGCCTTGCCTCCGCACCAGCTCCCGACGTTGGCCCTGGAAATTCCCAGGGCAAGTGAGGGCACAGCTCTTGATTTATTCATTCATGTACTCACTTCACTGTTTCTACTCCCTCATTCACTCCCGCCTGCACCACTACCACGGAAACTACTCTGGCAAAGGTCACCTAGGCCAGATCAAAGGGATGCTTTGGAACCTCTACACAGCGCTGGACACAACTGCGCCCTCCTTCCGGGTCCCCCTTGTCTCCTCCTCTTTATTCATCCGACTCCCGGGGCACAGCCTTTCCTAGTTCTGCTCCCGACTCTAATCTTTAGGTGTCCTTCCAGGGTTGCTTTTTCTCTGCCAGCTACTTAAAGATTGTGGATTCCAAGGAGTCCACCAGTCCCCTTTTCCCCCTACATACTCTCCCTGAGTAATTGCAACCACTTTCAAATTCTATCTCCAGATCAAACGTCTACCTCAAGCCTCCTGTTCATAATTCAGCCTCCTTGCTGGTGGCGTTGATTTTAGCCTTCCTTCCCCGTTTGCATCCCCCATTCTACCAACAGATACAAATTTGACCATATTAATCCTGATTAGAAGCTTTCAGTGACTTCCATCCACTTGTGGAATATATATCCAAGATTCAAGGAGTTCATTCTAGGAAGCCTACACTAATAGATCTTAGAACCCCCCTTCATCCACTAACAGAGGGCAGAGCCCCCTCTATCTTCTTATTGTCCAAGTAGCTTGGGTACCCCATAGAATTCTCTACATTCTATTAGAACATCTCTTTATAGATGTTTGTATCTGCCAGTAAAACTAGAAGCTCATTTTGGGCCTGAGCTGCCCCTTCTTCATCTGCACACTCCCCGTTCAGAGCGCAATGCCTTGGACAGTAAGATCTTCTATGAAGTGCTTGTTCAACTGAATTGAATTCATTCACCCATTAATTTATTCATTTATTCTTGGCAACTTTAACAGTAGAATTGCTATACCGGTCCTTGCCATGACAGAGCCCCTTCCTTCAGGAAGGCTTCCTTCCGTGACCACCCTTCTTCTAGCTCTCATTTGAGCTACAGATCAGATTGTATTGTAATTCTTTGTGTATCTCCTGGATGTGACTGGGAGCTCTTTGAGAATGAGGACTGTACCATTTTTGTATCCGCAATGACTAGCAGAGAGGCTGGTATATATTGGATTCTCAATAAATGCTTTTTGAATGGATGTAAGAATGAATGAATGTATAAATGAATGATTGATTGAATGAATTAGAGAAAAAAATTCTCTCAGAGCACCTGGCTGGCTCAGTCAGTAAAGCCTGGGACTCTTGATCTCAGGGTCATGAGTTCAAGCTCCGTGCTGGGTGTGGAGCCAACCTAAAAAAAAAACAACAAACCACTGTTCTAGAAGTAGAGCATTTGTGTTGGAAAAAGAAAAAAACAAAAACTAACTTCACTAAATACCTATGATGCGTCACAAATAGCACCAGGCATCTCATATAATTCCATTTATCCTCACAGCAGGTTGAGATTAGTATCTTCACTTTCACAAATTTGGAAACCAAGTCTCAGAGAAGTCGTATGGAAGATGCACAAGGCTCTGCATTGTGTAGATTTAGAAACTGACAGAGGCATTTTTATTGGATTCAAGAGAGTTGTAACCTTTTGCAGAAGGCAGAGAGCAACTTACAAAAGCAATCAGAGGCAGATGGTATAGCATGAATTCTGGAGCCAGGCTGTCTGGGTTTAGATCCCAGCTTTGCCATTTCCTAGCCTTGTATCTATTTTTCTCTCTTTCCGTGGTTCCTTTCCCAACAGAAGGTTTTGTTCACTGCTATATCCCCACTGCTAGAAATTATTGGTATGAACTCATCGTATTTAATAGAGACAAATATAAATATATGCGTGTGTATTTCCTGATCCTACCTAAGGAGAGGGTCTAAAACAATGACACCGGGCACCTGGGGGCTCAGTTGGTTAAGTGTCCAACTCTTGATCTCAGTCCAGGTCTTGATCTCAGGGTTCTGAGTTCAAGCCCCATGTTGGGCTCCACACTGGGCATGGAACCTACAAATAAATAAATAAATAAATAAATAAATAAATAAATAAATAAATAAATAAATAAATAAATAAAAGCAACTACACATCAGTTGCAATAAGCAAGCCTGGCTCTTGGCTTCTAAATACCAGGACTCCTTAGAAACATGACCGAGACTCCAGGGCTGGAGCAGTGAAAATACAAGACGAATGTGTTCTTGTGTCTCAAACACAAAGTAAGGAAGTCTTCAAAGGTTAACAATGTCATGTCAAAATGTATAACTCCAAACTGCCTTAAAGTAGTGCTTGGTTCCTAATTGGAACTCTTTGTGTAAGTCACTGTTATTACGGCTGGGACTTCTTCCAACTGTATGGAACAAGTTTCACAAAGATGAAGTTTGCACTTCAAATGGGTAAAGACAGAGTCTTGTAATAAAGCAATTTCACAGCAAGAGAGCTAGCATCTTTTTACACTGAATAGAAGAAAAATGAAAGAGTGAAAACTGTCACTTAAGTAGTCTAGATGTCACCCTCAACCGGTTACTCAGCTAAACATAAGCTCTTTGTTTAGTTTACTAGGTTGTAAATCCAGCTTCATTAACAACGCAGATTAGAATATTTTATAGCACAGCACCTGCATAAATAAAGGTCTTTTAGATTCCAGGAGGGTTGTTTTTTTTTTCAATTTCCCTTCAATTAAAACTGAATTCCTTTCTTAAAAGGAGATACACATTTTTTTGTTTCATATCTCCTTTCCCCTACAGGTCTTAGCTGGTTTCACCCCTTTAGCAGTGAGTGTGTCCAGAGTCAAACTCCTAGTTTGACTACTTAGTAGCTACTAAGTAGCTTCTTTGTCTGGTTCTAAAGCCCAGGTGCTCCTCCCCCCATATTTTACATGTGTATATGTGAAATGTAACAAGCCTACAGAAAAGTGCTAAAAGTCTAAATACAGCGTAACAAATAAATTGTTATGAAATGAGCATTACTAGCATCTCAGAAGCCCACGCCTGGGTGAGTCCTTTGCCCAATCACATCCTTTCCCTCCCTGCAAGTATAACCACTATCCTGAGTTTCATGTTACTCGTTTCCTTGCTTTTTTTTTCCTTTTAAAAATTTTTTTATTGTTATATTAATCACCATACATCACATCATTAGTTTGTGACGTAGTGTTCCATGATTCATTGTTTGTGCATAACACCCAGTGCTCCACGCAAAACGTGCCCTCTTTTAATACCCATCACCAGGCTAACCCATCCCCCAACCCCCTTCCTTGCTTTTCTTTAAGCATTGTTACCTGATCACACATCCTTAAATAATATGGTTTAATTTTGCCTACTTTTGAACTTTATATAAATGGAATCGTTTCTATTTACGGTATTTGGCTTCTTTTGTCCATTATTATGCTTTAAGAGTCATCCGTGTTGTACCCATAATTCATCCTGGTTTCATTGTTATACAGTACTCCATTATATTCTACCCATAATGTGTTTACTTATTCTACTGTCCATGGATATTTGAGTTGTTTCCATTTGGGGATTATTACCAACAAGGCTTCTCATTCTTGTACACGTATCCTAATGCACATGGCATACATTTTTATTTATTTTTTTTTAAGATTTTTATTTATTTATTTATTGAGAGAGAGAGAGTGGTAGAGAGAGAGCACGAGAGGCAAGAAGGTCAGAGGGAGAAGCAGACTCCCTGCTGAGCAGGGAGCCCGATGCGGGACTTGATCCCGGGACTCCAGGATCATGACCTGAGCCGAAGGCAGTCGCTTAACCAACTGAGCCACCCAGGCACCCGTGGCATACATTTTTATAGCATATGTAACCAAGGAGGGCAATAGGACATGCTCATCTTCAGCTTTACTAGATACTGACAACTTTATCCTAAAGTGATTGTACCAGTTTACATCCTCACAAGCAGTGTATGACCATTCCTGTTACTCCACATCCTCCCCAGCAGTTGATTTTTTTTTTAAAGATTTTATTTATTTATTTGACAGAGAGAGAGAGAGCGAGAGAGGGAACACAAGCAGGGGGAGTGGGAGAGGGAGAAGCCGGCTTCCCGCTGAGCAGGGAGCTGGATGCGGGGCTCGATCCCAGGACCCTGGGATCATGACCTGAGCCGAAGGCAGACGCTTAACGACTGAGCCACCCAGGCGCCCCACCAGCAGTTCATTTATTTTTTTTTTTAATTTTTATTTGTTTATTTGAGAGACTGAGAGAGAGCACATGAGAAGGGGGAGGGTCAGAGGGAGAAGCGGACTCCCTGCTGAGCAGGGAGCCCGATGCGGGACTCGATCCCCGGACTCCAGGATCATGACCTGAGCCGAAGGCAGTCGCTTAACCAACTGAGCCACCCAGGCGCCCACCAGCAGTTGATTTTTAATTACACTCTAAAATTGTTGCCAATCTGATTGATGTGTCATGGCATCTCATTAAGATAATCCTCGCTTCTTCAAGCGTTTATACTACTCAATCGTATGTTCTGAATCCATTATACAGCAGGAGTAGGGGATTCAAATGGAACCTCAGCATGTGACCTTATTTGGAAAGAGGGTCATGGCAGATGGTATTAGTTAAGATTAGATCATACTGGAGTAAGGGGAACCCGAAATCCAAAATGACTGGTGACCTTATAAGAGGAGAAGAAATACGGAGGCAGACAGATGCAGGGGAAGGTGGCTGGGGGATAATGAAGGCAGAGGCCAGAGATACGTGGTGACAAGCCAAGGGATGCAAG